TCGGTATTACACTTTCTCTTCTTCCCCGTAACTATGGCTATGGATATGATTCTAGAAGCAGCTCAGTTCCCACGCGGGGATAGTGGCATCAGTATGCCTCAGGTGGCAATGTATATGATCATGAGTCGGTGTTCAGCATTATACGATAAGTGAAGATCTATTTAAGTTGTAAGCTTTTTGGGCTTGTTTAAGTAGTGTGATAGCTAAGTTTAGCATGCATTTTGCACTTTCAAATGGGCGGTGGTAACGTCACCAATTATCGCTCCGGAGGACGAGTGTTCGAATCCCACCAACACCACCTGACTTTCCCCTTTTGTGTGTGTTGAATGGCAGCCCCGTTTGATTGGCCGCTTCCTTCCTGAAAAGTGTATCATTATGTATTCAATAAAAGGAAGTAAAAAGTGTTACGGGACAGTGCTGATTCAGTTTTGAGCCACATATTTGCTCTGGGGGCGATAGAAACAGTGGTATTTGTTACTTCGACAGCTACTTCTCACTCACCAGACGCAATACGGAGGAAGTGGCACGTGACGCGCATTCGAAAGTTTCATTGGTCGCTGGCCACCATGTAACTGCCGATGCCACCGGTGGTGTGTCGTATAAGAATGTGACCGTTACGGGAGCAAGATAGGGACAGACTGTCGGTTAATCGAACACCGCATTGTACTAATAGTGCGAGGCAACCAGGGACAAGTAAGACTCAGATTAGGTGCAGAATTTGAGGTAATTGTAAACCGTGCACTATTTGCAGACATCGGTCCCGGCTGGAAGAAACGACGAGGTGGGCAGGCTATGACGTGGCGCAGAGGATTAAAGAGATTGTGCTCGGATCTGAGTTCAGTTGGCGTTTCCCGGGTCCCCGGCTGGGCCCCCAAAGATTCAGATTATCTTTGGCTGGAGACACAGCGGGATATGGCATTGAACCGAACTCAGTGGCACGAGTGCATCCTCCTGTTTGGAATCCCAAAAATAAAAAAACGAAAAAAAAACTCAAAACGGCGGGCAGTAAACAAAAAAATTGTTTGATTTGACTTACTATCCTTCGAATTTCACCTTTACGCACAATCCTCAGTTGGTCGATTCAGTCATACACTCGGAAGCACGAGACTCAAGCTCATCAGTAGTGCATATCCACCGTCCTGTCCGGGCTTTGAACTCCGGACCCATCGCATGGAAGGCGTGTGCGTTAACACTGCGCTAACCAGCTCATGCCATGGCTGAACCAAATTGCCAATCATGTTTGTTCAGTATGAGACTGCACCTTGACGTGGTGTGATGACTTGTGCACCTCTGATCCAACGAGCCACACTGAATGGCTTTTGTCAAGCCGAAGTTCTAATCGTGCCTGGAAGGTCGAAGGGTAGAGGTCGGACGAAGTCCAGTCTCCTGGTCCTTTAGGTTAAACTGACGTTTCAGTCGGTAAAAAATGGTAGAGCAGTAATTAGTCCGAGTAAATGGGCCTCCACTTCGCTTCATCCGCTGCGTTACGAGTAGGTTCTTGTCAGAACTAAAGGCTTTGGTTGAAAACACTAATCGTTCTCGGGCTGGACAGCTTGGCAATACCCGTCCATCAAACCCCGGTGCATATGCATTGCGAGTTTGGCAACGATCAGCGAATTTCGCTTCCCGTTATTTCACTGTGCGATGATGATGCTGATGAGGGGTTGTCTTCAGTGATGGTCAGTTCATTTGCCCGACAGCAACGAAAGTAGACACAGGTACAGCTCAATTATCTTTCCCCCCACACACACTACTCACAAGTAACTGTGAGTTAAATACGAAAACAAAAATTGTTACTCCTCGAAGTTCAAGTTTATGTATATACATATAAATCGTGGAAGCAGGAGCTTCATCGATATGGGGGAGGGGTGTGAAGGTTGTACATAGCCGGCTGATTTTGGACTGTTTTTGATTCTGTCAAAGAGACTGAAATCACATCATGGTTCCCCAGATGTCTCTGGTGTTACAGAGGAAAGATTAATGAAATTGGTACCACGAATAAAACAAAGTTTCATGCCCCGTTTTCATATTACAGGTCAGTTTAGACTTCCATCTGTGTGTATACATTGGCAAATAACTAAGAAAGAAAGATCCCATGGGAATATGTCTAACAGTACAGCTTGTCGAATGAGTGGGAATCCACACGTGGAGGGCGGGGTACGAAAATTTACTGGATATTTATCAACAGAAAGCCAATGTTTTCGTTTCTATGCATTGAACTTATCTATGGTCGAGTTCAGATTTTGAAATAATCAACTTGCAATAGATCATTGTACAGTGAATGTTTTGGAGATGGGGAAGTGGCCAACTCAAAGGCCGCTGTAGGAAAGCAGAGCGATTGTAGTGGTCAGATTCGAACACACAATTTCAGCGGTGCAGTGTTAGAGATTCATATTAGCTTGATCACCATTTGTATCGGACTAGGGTCTTTTTCAGGCTGGACTGGGAGGCACGTAGCCCCAACCAACCAAATTGTAGTTATTGTTGTCTCATCTGTTTCGTGAATCTTGTTTTGTCAGATTTGCATAACACATCTGATCGTTACTCGCAGTCATGTTTTTTTTTGCCCGTGAAACCTCTTAGCCAGAAAATCTGGTCGATTTGCCCATTCCACGGACAACCAACCGGATATCGGACGGGATCCGGGTCTTTCACTGTTTCACGCCTTGGGCAAGATTCTGTACGGAAAGCGTAAGTGTGTGGGTGATCATCGTGATTACCTTGCGCCGCAATTTTTTTCTCTGTGTGATGAAATTTCCAATTCACTCTTGCCTCTCCTAATCTCTCTCTCTCTGTCTCTCTCAGGCACGTTGTCCGCACTGCGTAGTGATTCACTTGGAGAATTATTCCAATCGATCCCCTTAAATGTGTATCGGTCATCTTTTTTCCAAATGTATGACAACATGTGAATATCTTTTCGTAAGAGACGTTTTTGTAAGCTGATATTTCAATCTTGTTTCCCTCATTAACCTTCAAAAATCATAGTGAAATGAACAGATGCCAAAAGTTTACATGTGTCTTTCATTGCACGGATCTACGTACTCCTCTAAAAGTCATCGGAGAAACGTGTACTTTAAGGTTATCTTCAATTTAGATATCGATGTGAATTTATATCCTTTATTTGTCTACAACCTTGTGTCTTGTAAACTGGTTTGCGAGAATACCGACCTACCGAAACGGCACGGTTATTTTGAGTGAAAACCCAAAGATATTGTGAGTGTTCCATAGCTGATTAGCTAACATCATTCACAATCGGGAGACGTTTTGCTTTTCAGACAACTTATTTTTTCTTTCCTCGGACGAATGTGTATTCGTTTAGTTAGTTGGAGACTAGTCTTCAACCGTTTTTAGTTCGGCGTGCCTTATAGGCCTTATAGGATCTGAAGTCCGACCCCTTAGTTATCACCTAACTTTGGTGGCGGCAAGCAGCTTCGCCATCGTTTGGCTCGGTACTACTTCTAACCTAGCGAGTCCTTATGTGGTTCACCACTCCAAGTCCTGGGGCTTAGGTTACCGGTTTCCACGAGTAAGAGCAGCACGTCATCGTGAATGTGGCGTTTAGTTTGTCTACTGTATCATAAAATAACGAATACTCTGTTAGTTTTGACGTTTTTAACTATTCTGTGACACATTCGTGTAATGTCTGTTTTAAGACCTAGATTACCCAGTAATCCTAACAGATGAACTGATTCTTTCTTGACCGAGGGGTTCACTCCTGCATATATTGTCCATCCTATGAATGGTTCAAAGTATTCAGTTTGCAAATAGATTCTCAGATAGTTGTGATCATCTAGACAGATCGCTGTCGTTTGAGGATTTGATGATATCTTTTGCTTCCCGTTCTTGCCGACAGGACAGAAATCGGAATCTGCGGCCGTTCCGGACAGCAAAGCATGCAAATCAACAGTTCCTTCTCTACCACTCCACCTGACCAGCTGGAAGCGACCACCACTGACGTTCGATCTTGATGTAAGTGTGTGTGTGTGTGTGTGTGTGTGTGTGTGTGTGTGTGTGTGTGTGTGTGTGTGTGTGTAGATAATTTCCATCGGGACCCCTATATGTATGTTAATGTTCCCTCCGCAATCCTCTATTCTATACTAAAACAATTCCCTTGCTGTGGGATGCTCGGTCATTAGCGATACACGTTCGTCAATTCTATCCGCTTTACAGGTGGTCAAAGCATATTGGCTCATTAAAGGCCAGTAAAATGGATTCAGTTTGCTACTATTGTCAAGATCTGATATGATTTTAAGTCGGGAAGACCAGATAGCCTCAAGTGAGATCCGAACTTACACGGTTCCAAGATTTCCCCATCGAATCGCCGATGCAGTTCAATCCATCTGCTGTTCATCACACATAAATATGTGTGTTATGAAAAACGTTATCATTTTTCCATTTGACATTGTCAATAATCGCTTGTGACTGTTTGAGTCCATCACACTCCGTAGGCTTTTTGCNTTTGCTAAGCGCGTGCTCCGGTATCGTGCACAGTAGACTGTTTCCCAACGGGGCGGCGTTGTACAGATCCAGTCTCAGTCCTGCCAACTGAGTGCCATCACATTGACCCAAAAACGACCACAGGCGGATTCCCGTATGGCATTGTTTGCTCAGGTACGGTATGCCTATGAAGTGTTTCCATCCCGAAAACTATTAACAAACTTTGGGCGGAAAAATTTCCCCACTCTGTTGTCGTTTCGAGCGGTGTTCAACAGAGGTGCCTCACATTATTGTATTTCGCCACAAATGACCTGTGTCAGAGGTCTTTTACAGATCTTAACAATGATGATGATGTGAAACCCTTACCAGGTAACAAAAGTTACTGATTAGGATTCTTCAGAAGATACCTCGTGACCTGGAGATGGTCCACAAATCTTCCAATATTTTTGGGACCACCAGTTGACTGAATTTACTGGATATGATATGCGCCGTATCCAGTCTAAGTACAAAGCCCGAAAACACTCACAGGTTGTTCTGCACTCATCCTTTGTGCGGGAAGTTTATATCATATATTTTCACACGCGTGTGAGTTCATACTATGCCAAACAAATCACGTTATAATAATCTTTCTAAATGTCCATGAGCGCGATACGGCCGGGTTTTCCAGGTCAAAGTCTGACCCATAAAGTAGCTAGACGATGTGTAAAAACCGCAATCCATTGGGGGTCGGTGTCCAGTTCATCGAATAATACGTTCCTCGGACGAGGTCAAACGTTTGGGTGCCTCATACAGCTCAGTGTGTACAGTACAGCAGTAATGACGTGGTTGTGAGGCAAATTGGTAGTAGTTGATCACGTTTTGCTCCGCAGAATCGTCCCACCTATTGCAATTGTTCGGCCGATTTCTGCGAATGATCGCCCTGCATTGAGCTCTTTCCTCTCGTTCACCCGACCGGAGTGAAAGACTCGGCTTGGGGGATAATCTATTCAAGTCAAGTCAATAGTGGCTTTATGCACTATTACGTGGGAGAGATGGATTAGAATACTAACTACCAATTCAGTTTCTGTAGAGCCTTGTCAGCTACGCGGTTAGATCAAGGGGAATTCCGAAAACCACTGGCACGTGTCCCGGAAATCTGAGACCATATTACCAGTATTGTAGAAATTGCTATGGCGGTTCACCACTATTCCCTAACTACGTAAGAGAAAAAAAAATTAGCAAATATCATCAACGCGGATCTGAAGGAATAGAATCTTGTTCCTGTCTATTTTCTCGCAAGATCGATCGTGTGCTTCTGGGAAATTTTTTCCGGTCATATTACTCATTATAGGAACACTGAAAATCGGTCTTGGCCGTCGAGTTGGCTGAACGCAGCTAAACCACAACACTTAATACAGATTTGTCGCCATGATTCCTCGAGGCTTGTTCTTGTCTCGATTCCTCTCTCCGAGCTACAAATGAGATTTGTGTTGCATAATTCAAACCGAGAGTTCAAGTATAAAGAATGACTAGACAGAAGACTATCGGCTACGGGACGAGCAATAAGGACTGTGTAGTCGGTCGTGTGCTTCTGGAAAATC